GAAAGTTTTTGCTTCATGATAAATGCTGTCTACAAATCAGCTGCAATTAGCTTTTCAGGCAGATCTCATAGATGTTGTGTGTGTCAATCGATACTACGGCTGGTACATTGACATGGGCAAGCTGGACTGGATTAACCAAAGTGTATACTGGGATATCACACAGTGGTCGGACAAGTATAAACGACCCATATTGGTAACAGAATACGGTGCTGATAGTCTTCCAGGTTTGAATCAGGTACGGTCGATATGGGCCTAATGCGATAAAAGTCACTTGAGTGATTGGTACAGTTGTCACAGTTGAGGCACTTTTTTGCTTACAAGATCACCTCTAGACCCCCCCCCTCCTGGAACCTTATATTACTCATTCTGAAGAAGTCTCAGTGGGTGCTATTTTGGCGAACAACCACCACTTCTTCCATTCGCTCGAATCGACGGTAGTCGGTAAGGAAAACATCTACCGAATAAACGACGAGGACAAGATAGCATGAATCGCAAATTCCGAGCGCGGTAAAAGAAATAGCTATCGCACGCCGCGACGCGACCACTCGCGACAGCAGATGGGAGTTCCACATGTTTCGGGAAGTGAATCACAATTAAATTACGTCACGTCATAACTAAATGCCCCTCTCGATCACCAGTTAACGAATTACATCATAGGAGCCGTCTGTGGACTTTTCCGAGCAGTATCAAAATGATCTCATTGTACGAACGCATCATGCGTTCGACGTTCTCCGTAGTGAACATCGACTTGCTGGAGAGATGATATGGAACTTCGCCGACTTCATGACCGGCATGAGTGAGAACATTGTTTTCTCAAACTTAATAACCACACGCTACACTACTTTTTGTTCACTCTTACAGTCTGTTCGCTGAGGATGAAGGGGCGTGTCAGTGAGATCGGAGTTTGGCGCGCCGCCAGCGCCTTGTCCACCATTTGTTGAAGAGAAAAAGCGACAGATATTGGTTTAAAACGACTGGCACGAACAAAGCCATAAAGTCTTCTCGCTCGCCGAAAGAAAAAAAAGGGCTGACACCGCGCCAAACTCATCCTCCCCCTGACACGCTTTATCATCCGCAACGAACAAGAGCATAAGTGTAACCAAGGCAAGTAAGTAATTGTAGTATATTTTGCCTACTCTATATACTTCCAGCAACAACCCGAGCTGTCGGCAATCACAAAGGGGTGTTTACTAGGACACGGCAAGCAAAAATGGCTGCCTATACGCTCAGAAATCGATACTTGTCGCTCTTTAACCAAACGGATTTGGAGATATGGAAATAAATATTTTGGCTTTATAACTGAATGTCTGTTCACAATTGTATAAAGCATATCCACTTATTCTAATAAACTGCATTGTCGTTGTGGTATGAAATGAAGCATTTGAAGGAGAGTTGTGTGTGAAACTTTTAGGCTTCGTTCATGGTTCTATGTACCTCTTTAGACATTTTTATGTTTTCTCTTGAAACATTTTTAACAATTTTTTTTTGTTGAAAATGTTGAAAAAAAGGACAATCTTACAATGTTTCGTCGAGCTATCTGAGCCCACTTACTGCATACAAGCTCCGCCCACTGCAGTCAAACTCCGCCCACTTTCGAAGAATTTCAAGATTTTCCGAAAGCTGATTCATCCTTTCACTCTCTTCACTGGTATTTTCGGCGCTCTAGAATTAGGCATTCCTTCGGGTTGCGAACTCGGCGTTACAACCTGTGGTGCACAGGTATAGTTCCAAATCGTAACCTCCTTGGCGACGAGCGCAACGAAAGAGCAAAGTTACAAGGAGGGCTAGTCGCGCAGCATCCGCACTATAACCCCCAATTCATAATTATGCGTGGTTACGTGGTAGTTATGCGAGGTGTAGTCTACCGGACGTTATCTTCACACCTTTACTCCTATTTTTAACTTCCTATTTTTGTGTGGGCTCACACGTCTGCATGACATCACGTTCTACGACCACTAACTAGGGGAGGTCGTCAAAGGTCATAAGTGGCCATTTGTAAGCACGTTCATCAGTTCGCGGACGCAGCGGCGATCGCGGACGATCGTCGTGGCAGGCAGCCGCGCGCCCAACGCTAATATGAAAAATGCCGCCTGATGAATAAAGACTTCAAACTTATACGAAATAAGGGCTACTAACAGACAAACTACGACCTTCTACACATAAGCAGATCTGGAATATGAGGTAAGAAGGTTTCACTTCCTTTTAGGTCGGGGTAAGACCAACTCCATTTCCTGGGTGAGCTTCTTTTTTTGTTTTTATTGTTTCAACTTATGCATGCGCCTCAGGAATTCGCTGTTCCAACCCAAAACATTCATAGTTTACAACTCGAGTTCAAACAACGAAGAAAAAAACGAAATAGAAAGAAACTCTCCTAGGAACCAAAGCACTAATCATTTTACGCGACATCAACAGGTGAAAACTTCATAAACCTCATGTACAACCTCGACGAATGAAAAAAAGAAGCAATAAAAACGTACCTCAAGTGAAGCTCTCGCGCTTTTTGCTCATTTCTATCCTAAATAAGAAAGAAAATAGAAAACAAAAGCGATTAAGCTGGGCTCGCCTTCCCTTGTGTCAAACCAAGCTTCAGTACCTAAGGAAATTGCAGTCAAAGGAAAAAAGCATAAAATTGAGCCGCTTACCCCCAGAGCGCAAGTAATAGCGTTGGGGCGCGCGCTGCCATGCACCGACGATCGCCGCGATCGCCGGCGATCGCGGCGATCGCTGGCGATCACGGCGATCGCGGCGATCGCTGACGATCACGGCGATCGCGGCGATCGCCGCTGCTGTCGCGAACTATGAACGCTGCCTAATGAGTATGTAGCTCACTAGACGTGGTTTTAGACGCTGATCTCGAATCTGCCTTCGAAATTTGCAGAACGATTTTCTGAACGGAGTTATGGAGCTTTTTCCACCGCGTTTACCACGCAACAGGTCGTGGGATCGGATCCCTGCTGAGCTTAACTTTTTTGCTTCTTGTGCAAACGTGGCAAAAAGTGGTTGTGGCGTCACTACTACATTAGCGCTCCCCTTGACTTGCCTGAAAAGCAGTTTGTGTTCGCTTACTGGCGCGCTTAGTGCCTTATGATCTAGGAGAATTTTAGGATGTACAGGTGCCCTTGGCGCGCAGTGCAGACGTTTTCGCGCTGAGCGAGTGCCATATTCGTATTTATGGGGGCGAACTACGCCTAGGTAGAGGTTTCTAGCCAAATCTGCCATTTTGACCTGACTTCGACAAGTGAAGCATCCATGGGTTAGTTCTATAGATGTTAACACCTATTCAGCTGCAGATACATTCTCCTGCACAAAAGCCTCGTCTCCCCTCTTCCTACGCATTCATGTTGTTACTGCTCCAGTTTTCCTGGTATCTAAAAGCAAATCCCGCCAAAGACAAGCAATCGGCAAGAGACTTGCCCTGGAACTATTGATGACCATCATTCCATCAACTGCACCCGCACTTAACGAAGTTGGGTCAAAACCTCACATCTGGCTAGACGCCATCTGTCCTCAAGGGCTTGCCCTGACACGAGATATGGCACCCATTTGGGCGTTGATTGTTTTTCTAAGACTTAAAAGAGACATTCCCCACAAAAATGCAAAACAACAATCCCTTCCACCGCAAATCCGAACCCCTTCATAGGCATGTCGCGAAAGCAAGACCGTTAACACTACACCATGCCGCCGTTGAACGTAATGGTGCTCCCCGGCTATTCAAGCGATGGCTGGCAACCGCGCTCGACTGTGTTTTCCTTCATTTTAATTCTAACAAACCTTCATAATTCCGTTCAGAGAATCGTTCTGCAAATTTCGAAGGCAGATTCGAGATCAGCGTCCAAAACCACGTCTAGTGAGCTACATCTCTCATTATAAATGGCCACTTCGACCTGACGACCTTCCCTAGTAAGATCGTACACATTATAACCTTTTATGCATGGTAACGCGCTCATTCACTCCGAGACGCCCCCCCGGCCCCTCTAAAAAAGACATCTCCTGGCTTCGGACATGGTTTTTTGCACATTTCTGATGATGGCTACCGTATATTTCCACGTCTTTCTCATCAATCGGACTGTAAAATGATATAGTAAAGCGACAGATAGACGGTGCAGCCGCATCCCGAGTGCTTTCACAAATGAACCCTGAACGCAACACTTATCGATGGGTGGGGCATCGAATTTGTCATGGGCACCCAGCGTCCTTATCGCATATTATCAAGCCGTGAAAAGCGTCATTTCTCCGATTATTGACAGAACTACATTGTCCAAGAAAACCCTCTGCACATCGATCGCAGAAAGTGAGTTCGAAACTCTGAGCAACGTACTCTGTAACAGTTTTGTGAATAGGTCATATAACGAAAGGTTACTCTGTAGGAAATGTTGCAAAATTTATTTAGATTTTAACTGTAAGATTCACAGGGCACTAATTTCACACTATAAGAGATCATAAAACACATACAAATCAACATCATTAAGTGAAGTCATCACAAAATCGGGTCACCGCGGAGTTGTTCGTATTGTGAGTGGTTTCGAAGGCTCGCCAACACTCCCGTCAAGATGAACGGCCTATAAAATGACGGCAAAATAACAAACCAGAATTAAGTTGGAGAATGTTCGAATATACCAACGCAGTAACATAGGAGATGTCACCTACTTGCAACTGTACATTAATTTCCACTCCAGGTTCGACATCCGAAATCCGAGCAGCATTATTCGGTGCTCGCACAACACCACTTTCAACACCATTTGTGAGCACCTTATAACCTGAGAGCAAGGGGCTTCATATATAGTCCTTAATAAGCAACATAGGTAACAAAAAGGCCAACAATAACTTACATTTAACCATTGGCAAATCCCAGACGATTTCAAAACAACCTTTGTCTAATTCGCGTGCAACTCGAAGATTGCAAGGATCAGGACGTTGTGCAGCCTTTACTGACTCCAGCTCGGATTTTAATGAATTAACATCTTTCTGGAACAGAAAAACATATTTCCAGACATATATGATGGTACTAGCTCCACCAACCGAAAATCTGTCTGCCATTTCCACGAGTAACTTGCTCAGCTCATCATTTATTCGGGTAAGGTTTTCGGTTGGTGGAGCTAGTACCATCATATATGTCTGGAAATATGTTTTTCTGTTCCAGAAAGATGTTAATTCATTAAAATCCGAGCTGGAGTCAGTAAAAGCTGCACAACGTCCTGATCCTTGCAATC